GAAGCCCATGCTTGAATGTCCGGCACGTCCGCATTCAGAACCCCTCCTTAAAACAATTTAAAACAGCCCTGCTGAAAATTAACAATTAGCAATCATCTGAGTTCGGTTCATTGTTTCAAGTGGATTGCGGCCAAAACTCTCTCTCTCTGGGCAAAGTGCCCCATGTCTTTGAACTCTTCCACCAATTGTTCAGGGCTGCAGCGTTCATCAAAGACTACATGCAGCTTTCGGAGGTTCGTTGTAATCTCAGACATCGAAGGACGGGGTCTCAAGCTGAATGCGCGGAAGGCGCCTCATTGAAAGTCATTGTCAAGTCTTGTCAGCATACCTGCATTTCCCGCCAAACATAAGTTCGCGAGCGACACTGACCCTCAAAGTCTGGAAACTCTGCCTTTGCTGTTGCCACAGCCGCTGACAGCCACCCATTCATTCTTTCCAGGCACCGGTTCACCATACACCTGTCCAAATCGCCTCCAAGCTGGCGGACTTCTTTGGGCAGCTGGATCAGTGTCTTGTTGGATTCCAACCACGTCATTACCTCAATCGGCGGTTAAGTCCTAATCCAAGGTCCAAGACAGGATCAAAGCGCCGTTTCAAAAGAACATGAAAGCAAGTGACTGCGATCAAACAAGCAACATGGTAAGTATAGCCATGGATTTTGAGGCATTCCTTCTTGACAAAAAGCGCCGCCAACCTCTCAAACAGCTGCTCAATGACCATGTTCAGCCTTGTAGAATCGATTGTGGATTTATCATGGAATCTCAGCCTCAGTGGCCGGGTAGGCGCATACCACTCATTGTTTGTCAGTGACGATTGTTGGAAATGTGAGGCAGCTGGTAACAACGGCAGTGACAATGACAATGACAATGACAATGTCAGTAAGCATCCAGCAAACGCAGTTCCTCGTCTGCCGCATCACACATCATGCCCAGCTGCAGTAAGTGCTCGGCAGTCACGTTTTGCAAAAAACTGAGGGCTCGTGCCTTGGGTTTGTTCTGCTTCCTTGCAGCGATCCTTAGACCGGCGATCTCATGTCGCTGTATCAATCAACCACAAGGGAAACTTATCCACTGAAGGCAGCTGACTGTGACAAAGGGTCTCCTGGCAGCAACTGAATACCGCTGGGAGCAGCAAAAGGAAGCGGGCCATCGGGCGAAAGGTGGATTCATGACGGTGCTTCGCACGCTGAAGACAAGCCATCTTGCAGTGGAAGTTCCGGATGCGTCGCACCTGCAGCGCAGTGATTGTCACGAGCGCTACCGGATGGAAGGTTTGGGTGAGAAAGGTTGTCACAGGGCTACCGAAACGTTTCAGAAAAGACAATGACAACAAAGACCTCTTCCTGGACAATGACAACGGCAAGTAGCAACTAAGGCCTAGACGTACTTCTTGAAAATAAGTTTATTGTGCGGACTGTGCCATATCAAGCCACACACGCTGTGCTTCCCAGCAATGTAATCTTCAAAGATGCGATTCATGAAAGCATTGCACTTCCACTTCTGCGACAGCCTGACTGAGCCCCATGTAATTCACAAACTAAACGACACTCATCGTGCATCTTGCCCTAATTTAGGCTGTCAAGGTCTTGACGTCTCCTGGCCTAGAAGTAGCGTGCGCTCTGTCGCGCACGCGCATCCTCATGGCCGGAAAGAGGCCTGAGAGACAATGACGTTGAGAGAATGCGTTGAGACAATGACGGACACCGGCCTTCAACCCTTGACCCTTGAGAATCTGTGTAGCCAAAGCGTAACAATCGTGTGGTCTTTGTTTCGTCCATTGCAGCATCGGTGGCAAACATTTCCTCGCACAGTTAGACATGAAAGTCACTGACAAGTTGTCGTGGAGTCATTGATTGCAAGGATGACATTTAAGGCCGTGGCCACAGCTACCAGGAATTTGTTCAGGAGCTTCGACTGGACAACGTTGCGTTTACCCTTCCATCCCCTTGGCGGCATCCTCCTCTTTGTAAAGAGCCTCCGGATGGCTTTTCGAGTCGATTGAGCGAGGTTGTAAGAGCCTGCGTTGTCATCATCCACGAGAACCATCATTGAATGCTCTTCGAGACCCGCATAGCCTGGGCGGAGAACAGGGCGGGTTGCTTTAGCAACATAAGACGACCCCTTGCAATTTGCTGAACTATGTGCTTCCGAGCTGCGATCATGGGTGACCACAGTAACTCTCACTGAGAGCAGTGTGCCTTGAGCATCTTGAGCAACCACGGCACTCATCATCCTTAAGGAATGACAAATGGGAATGTGACAATGACAATGACAAAGTCAGTGAATGACCACCAATTGGGGACAGTGTCAGCTAAGCCTAATGCAGTTGCCCATGATCATGTTGCGGTCCAAGGCCCTTCTTCTGATCAACTTCTTTCCAGAAGCGTTCCATAATAGCTTCATTCAGAAGCCAGAGCATTTTCACTGACTTGGTCCTGGCAGAAAAAATGATCAGACAAGTGTCAGCACTTTGAAATGCCTTCCTTGTTATTGTCAGTTGTTCCTTGTTATTAGCCCCCGCCTCCCAAATTTGGAGCTGCGAAAGGAGCACCCCTTTTTGACGTCCTCTATGCATTGGCAAAAGTCGTCAATGCTTGGCGCCCCCATCAGATCTGCCCTCTGAAGCTTTCCGTTCTGCGTTTCTAGTCTTCGGTGGAGCAGCGAGTGGCCATGCCGAGCGACCAAAGTTTTATGCGGCTTTGAAGGTAGTAAGGTCCAACCACAATGCTTGCCTGGGCTTAGGGGTTTTTTATCGAGTGAAACACTTACAATTACTCTGTCAAGGACTTTGTCGGACAATTGACACAAACAATGCCGACAAAGCAACACTGGCCAGAGTCTGTCAGCCATGGATACTCAGTTTTCCATTTGCTGATGAGGCGGCGTAGTCTGCCAGAGCTCTTCCCAGGTGATTTCATGGCACAGGCTCCAGTGTGAGTGTAAACTGTGCTTCATTGGCTCACATCGGACATTTTTTCAAGCATGCATGTTTGCGTGTGCGACTTCATCATTATTATGACAATGACGATGATGGGTGAGCGGCAGTTCTTAGCCGCTGCTGGAGCCATCTTCTTCAGAGTCAGTGACAGTGACACACGCTCACATTCAATGCCAGTGACAGGCTTAGACTGACTTAGACTGACTGGAAGCGTTCCGGCCTGGAAAGCGACGCTGCTGCCTGGTTGTTTGAGGCCACGCCGTCACCGGAGCCTGAAAGGGGACACTGGTGGCAAACCGCAGCTCATGGTAAGTGTATCCCACCTGATGATGCCTTTGTTGGGTAGCCAAGCTCATGGTTTCTCCTTAGGTCGATGACAATCTGATTGTCACGCCTGACAAAAACTCATGACATGTGACCAGAAAACATTGAGTCCAACACTGTTCCACATGCTTGTTCACAGTGTTGATGATCCAATTGCTCTTGTCATTGATGTGGTCCGAACGTGAGGAAGTCAGGAAGTTGCACATGTCATTGTACTTGCTCTTGTCGAAGTACTTGACTATTCCAAGAGCTTGTTGTCCATGCCTGGCCATTTGAAATAATTTGAACTCTGATGTCTCTGACTACGATTGGCCCGCGCGGCCCGCGCCTGGACAAGGTGCTTGCCAATTGGCGGCCTTGCCCGTCCAGGAAGTCCAGGGCTACCGAATCCCCGACTCTCGCCATCTTGAGCCGGTCACGGACAATAACGACGACAATTTGAAGGACAATATGACGACGACAATGACAAGGTCCTGGCTTTCAAACTTGGCATGACAGTCAGTGACACTCCCAGCATTTTCCCCAAAGCCTGCGTCAGCCGCAACTTGTCACTTCCTCCAAGCCAAGATGTGCGCCAGTTCCTCGGCATGTGGAATGGAAGGGCGTTCGCATTCAAACAGAATGGATTCTCAGCACGACGACTAATTTTAAATGTAACTGAGAATCGTCAAACAGCTTTTGCGCCACTCCCAATGGCCAGCTGTTTCCGACAGCTTGGCCCAACTGATGCTCTGAGAGACCATCAAAGTTGGAGTTGTGCCACCCCATGATCACAGCCATTTCCTGTCACGGACGATTTCAATTAATTCAATCAATGGCGATTACATTGCTTTAAAAATAACATCGCTACATTTAACTTGACTGTCAAGTGTCAGAACTGGTCAAGTGCCGGTCCCAGCAGGTGCAATAATAAGCTCGTGCTCCACCCCTGGACCTCGTGATCGTTGGAAGCCTGGGCCGGTGAGGCAGAGCAACACGCAGGAGCTGCAAAAAAAAAACACTGAGCCCCTGACCTGTTGCGTGTGGGTTTGCCTTTGAAGGTCTTCGATGCTGCCGTGTCCACGAACCTCCAAGTTTCTTTAAAATCCAGTGAAGCGACGACGACGACGACGAATCAAAAACTGAGGTGGCCACCACAGTTCCTTGCTTGGATCACGCTTCTTCACGTTCTTGATGTAGTCCAAAGCTTCCTTCAACCGCTGCACCCCAGTTTTGCAAGTGGGAGGACCCTTGCGCGCATCCGGGCTGTTCCTGAGCAAATGACTGTGTGGATGGCTAGGCGCAGATGTTTGATGGTTTTAACTCATGCTAGACTCGTCGGACCTAATGGTCAGTGACAAGCAGCTTTGCAATAAGCTGCCGCACGGACACTTTCTTCTTGGAGGGCAGCGGGAATTTGAAGGCGCCTCATCAAAAAAGGAGCCAATTGACTGGACTGGCCAAGTTCTTAGGCAAGCTGGGTCAATGACGTTTAGCTTTCTTGGTCTTGTAACCCACAATCCAAAGTCTCTTCCGCTCAGTGGCCATTCCGTGACAAAGAGAATTCAAGACCTGACGCAGCTCAACTTAGGAAAATCACTGACGGACTCAACAACGTGACCCAACAACTGCAACTAACTGGACGCAAAGTCCTTGTGCTTCACGGTGTAGCCAGGCATCCGCAGCCTCAGACTTTTGGTAATCAATGACTAGACATTACGAATGAATTTAAATAGGACTGAGTGGTTCAGTCGAGTTACTTGGCCAAGACGTTGCCAAAGAACTTCTTGTGCTTGACAATGTCGGGCACCTGCTCGAGCAAGAAGGCATCCGGCTGGATCTTTGCGATCCTATTGGCAGCCTAGGCAAGCTTACAGCAGCGACACGGCGCTGACCAATCGTCAATTTCAATTGTTTCATTAAGTTAAGTTGTGGCAAGGAACGGTCATTTGTAGATCGCTTCGTTCATCGCTTTCTCCTCCACGTCTGCCTATCTTGCTATAGGGTTGGCAGGGCGCACCTGCCGAGTACACAACGGGGTTTGTTTGGCCCTTGACCTTCTTCAGAACATGTCCTGGCAGGTGTTTCCTGGCATCATCGGAAACAAAGGCTTTCGGGTGCAAGTTCGCGATGCGGTTGCGGAGAGCTGGCTCCGATTCCGAGGCATAGGCCAAGGTTGATGGCACGTTTGCTTTCCTGGCAGGAGAGACGCTAAGAACCCTTTGACGCAATGCGACTGGGTGACTGACTGGCAAGGACTCTTATACTAAATCATATTTTCGTTGTGTCTCAAACCCAACTCACACCTGCAAAGCTCTTTCAAAGGCTCCAATCCGGCGCAATCGGACATCAAGATGACGGGCATGGTTTCCGCCGCCCGTGCTTCAGAAACAAAACGCTGATCAGTCTGTGCCCCCCCCGCCGCACGTCACTGACTTGAGCATAAATATGCATAAATTGACATAATAAAGGCTGCATACCCTTGACATTGACTCTCCTGTAGCAAAAACTCATGACTGAAGTTCTCCTGGGCTAGCGGCTCGGCTAGTCCAAAAGGCGGGCAGACGAATCTGATGGCCTGGCAAGATCGTCGGTTCACTCCAAGCATTCATTTCCTGGGACGCCTGCCAGCCTTGTTGTCAAGGATCTCCGCTTGGCCTACCGTGCTTTGAATCATTGATTGCAACAAACACTTGCACAAAACAAGCAACATTCTAATGAAGAGCAAATGGAGACAATGACAAGTCAATGAGAATTTGAAGCTGAGAACAATAACAAATCAAGACAATGACAAAACAAATCAATGTCAATTAACGAGCAATGAGGCACCGCATTTTTCAACCCACGGGCTGAGGATTGCCGAGGAACCAGGTGACATCGCAGGAGATACAGTTCGACATGTATTTGTGAAACCTGTCGCCATATATGCCATATTTCAACTGACGAAAGCACGCCGCGGCAAACTTTAGTTGCCGGGCCACTGGAAGCGTCGCGACAATGCGTAAGGCCGGCCCAGTCTCATCAAGCTGTGCGTCTGCAAAAACCTCGTGCCTTAGTTGACATTGAATGAGTCACTGACGCGCCTATTTTTTAGGGCAAGTGTAATTGTTATTACGCCGACTGTCATAAAATTATGTCATAATTATTATGATACTGTCATTGTCACGACGAATGCAACCTGAGGGCAGGATGGTGCGAAGGCCATTTGGCATATTGTGGGATGTCAAGACAGCCTCCTCATCGCCGATGTGTGGGGAAACTTGAGGCGGAGGTGGGTGAGCTCTCCACGGTGGAACGCAACCTGGTGGGCTGGTGGAACTGGTGGATGCCGCCTGTACTCGTCGTGCCTTAGACGGTGGTCATCATCTGACTCGACCTCATAAACCTCAGCCTTGTCCTCTGTCTTGTCAGCATCGTCACGAACCAACCTTAGTTGCATTTTGTTATGATTACATGGCAATGAAGTTCGCAAAGAAGTTCAGACAACTTCAACTGCACACAAGCCAAGCGACGGCCAAGGCTTGCAGGTGTTTTCTTTCCAGAAGTTATCAAGGCATGCCCCCAACCAGTACACGTAGTCTGCTTCATTTCGCAGGTCCCGGTTCCGGCCAATGACCCTGAGCACGGTGTTCCGATAAAATGCCATTTGCCTTGGCTAGACAACTCTCAACCCGTCAGCTGTCAACTCAACCTATGTCTGGTTTTAAGACATTAAATTTTGCCTTCAAGGTACCGTGTCTGAAAAGAGTCACTGGAAGGTGACAAGAAGCTCTCACAGTCCTGGATGTCATGGGTCCAACTATCTGAGAGGGAGACGATGACAGGGCATACCCACACTCCGGTTTCCTCAACGGCTTGTCTAACGGGTCGCCAAAGAAGTGACAATCTGATCACAAACACTAACAGCACAAAGTTGACAATGACTGACAATGACGACACTGACAGTGTCCAAAGCGCCCACAAGATGCTTGCGATCAGCATCACAAAGGCTCCAGTGCGATGATACCCAGCATTGCATGAAAGGAAGATCCTCAGGATATTCTCGTTGAATAAGTTCACGATCATCTGCACGACATCTTTGCATCGTCGGTGGCTGTAGACCTGCAACACAAGCTGAAGCCACGGGCAAGAACACTCCCAGGACAATTTCTTTCAATTTCAACGTGCGTTTAAGATCGTTAAGCCCAGTCACTCCACGCTGCGTTTCGTGATGGGCGCAGCCGCTGTGACGGCCGCCCCAATAGTGGCCATCTTTGGTGTGGAAGAGGTGTTCTGCGAGGTCTATGTCGATTGTGGTCCAGTGATCCTTGAACTTTTTCCAGTAATGATGTGGCCTCGAGATTCTCCATCCGCAATCAAGGATCACATCAACCTCATCAGATGATGCTGATGCTGCTTTGTTGAAAGTTGGTCTCAAACAAACGCAAACAATTAAATTGAAACATACAAAAACTCAATGATGACGATATTCACGCCTGAGCCTTCTTGTCGTGTCGGGGCTTGGGTTTCCTAGCCCATCCAAAAATGATAACTCGCTGTGCCGGCGTTGACGACATGGCTTCACTCGGAGGAACTGTGCAAAAAGGCTAGTTCATCGTGGAAGAACAGTCAGTGTGTGTCATTAAAATGTCATTGAGTGCCACTTGCACTGCTTGAATGACTGAATGTCTTGAATGTCATTGCCAAACATCGTTCAGCCTCAAACATTTTGGCATGTGGTGAATGACAATGACAAAATCAAGGCACTCCAGAGTCAATGACAGCAAGTGGCCGAAGAGTCAAGCCGGCCTTTGTGAGGAGGAGGACGGGGCAGAACAGTCGTGCTCGTCAGAATCGGCCATGTTGAACACGCCTTGGCATCAAGGTGGCTCTGATGGAATCTGGCCATGGCAACTTACAGAACGCTTGTTATTATTCAGTCACTGACACTCTTTGCAAAGCGCCGCGACCGTAACTCCTGTCAAATGAAACTATATAATCACTGTATTATTATTGTCACATCCACTTAGCAAGCTTCAGCGTAACCGTTCTGCTTGTTTTGCAGTCCTGGTCCTGGAGGGTCCTGGTCTTCGCCCTGACATTGGAATTTCATGACATCAACTGACGGGAATGACAGGAATGAATATCTGGCCTGAGGAGGCTTCTCAATGAGTTTCATGGAGATGCTCAAAGTCTGGAACACCTGCATGGCCTGGCAATTGAGGTCAGAGACGAACAGAGCAGTACATGGAGGTCAGTGACAATTTCAAAAATAATAAACTAACATAATAAATTATACATGACAATTGTCCTCATCTTCGGTGATGTCTCGCTTCATCATGGACTCCACCAGCTGGATCGAGGTATCCAAGGTCACGTTGATTTTCTTCCTGGAGGTGTCGAATTAAGGAATGTGTGTGTCCAATGCGTGCGTCCAACGGGTGCGTCCTGACCAAGCTGACCACACACTTTTCGACCTTCTCGATGGCTTCGTGTAGATCCATCCGACCTGATCATCAATACTTAATGGATGCCAATGATGGCCAAGAGGGGATGTAGCTGAGGTCCAGGCACAAAATGACGGTGACTGGCACCAGGCAAGGACGGCTGCGGTGACAATGACTGACAAGGACAGCTGCGGTGACAATGACAAAGACAGCTGCGGTGACAACAATGACTGAGAAATCAAAAGCTTCCTATTCCCGTCGTGATTTATCCATGTCAAGACTTGGGTAAATCACGACGGGAAACTAACTTGCACCCAACTATTATTAAACTTAATGCCTGGACTTTTCAAAATAAATAAACCGAGAAATGAAAATTGATTTTAAACGTCGTGAAAATTTGGAACGACTCACGTCCTCATTTCCGGACTAAGTCAGAAAAAACTGGGAGGACTCAGGTTGAGTTGAAAAGCTGGCTTGAGAAGCTGGGGGAAGGCATGTCACTGATCAATCACAGGTTGAGTTGACCAGACAAGCTGGCAGGCTCAGTCTGTTGAGTAGAGTCTGTTGCTGAGTAGCTGGGGGAAACAAAATCCCCCTTAACAGCCACCCAGACGGGAATTGCCGTCGCACCACCCGCAGCAAGGGCCGCTTTCTTCCCTTGTCCAGGTGCCACGCTTGACGTTGGAGAGTCACCGGAAACACGTTCTCCGTGGCCAGCCCCTGCACTCGCCACTCTGACTTGGTCTGGAACCGGACAAAGACACAAGTTGGGAGCTGGTTCCAGATCTGTGTCGTACTCCCTGCTGCTGTGCCTGCTGCTTCGTGCCAGCTCCATCCAACAACTGTGCCGCGACATCCCTTCAGTATGCCTCTGCGGCGATCCAAGTGATCTGTTGCCGTGACAGGCATGCCGATGCACAAAGGCAAAACCCCGTACAGCCCGCCGCAGTCCTGATCGTGACGTTGCAGCCATGTCAACTTCTCTTTGCCCAAGTCCGGTTTTTCTTGCAACGCCCGGCTGGAAATTGTGTCTTTTGCAATGGCATATTTGACCTCTTGCCCGTGCTTGCGTGCCCAGTCTAGCGCCCGCAGCTTATTGACGTGGTACTTCACCGCATTCGTTGCAAACACAGCTTTTGCTTGCTCCAGCTTCCTTTCCTCGTCACCCCTCATGTTTCCATCCAACACTCGCTTTTTCGAGGCGCGTTCTTGCTGGCATTGCTCGCACTCTAGTCTGCGAATGCGCGCAGGGGCGACCTTGCTCTGCAGCAGTTGCTGGCACGCTGCGTTTTCGCAGTCCAGTTTTTCCCCAGACCAACTTCCCGGGACACCTGTGTCGTGCCCATGCAGGAATGCATGATTATCGGCGCTTAGGGCACCTTCCCGAATCTGCTGCTGCAGCCTCTGCAGCCATGTGTCTCGCGTGCGCTCACATTGCTCTAGTTCTGTGATGCCGTGGATCATGCTGTTCTCCGCCTGCGAGCCCCACACCAGCTTCTGCCCATGCACGGCGTGGGCTACTTTTTTGCTGCTCCCCTTGGTCAGCATTTCCCAAGGCACTTCCCCTAAAAAAGTTCCGCGTGGTGGTGGCAATTGCCATAAATCCCCTGCCACGAGCACGTTCAACCCTCCAAAGGGCTGCGCGTGTGCGCTACCTGGGGCGTACTTACTCTGCTGTAGATCGCGCACCAGCTCTCGGCATCGTAAATCCATTCTTGCCAGCAGCTCAGCGCTTACCATGCTGATTTCATCAATTATCAGCCACCGCCA